GCCAGGGCTCAGGAACACCCATTCGTGTGTAGTCTTTGTCTGTGCGCTCGTAATTACTTCCCCGTCTCAATCCTCAGCTATTAGCTCTAAAGCCCGTCTATTCCTCTCCTTCCATCATGCCTCCTCTATCTACCACAGTCTTTTTTTTCTTCTCATGACATGGCCCGACCCCTCCAGGGACACGCTGTGGTGTCGGTGACAAAGCAGTGGCGAGTGCTGAGGGAGGATCCGGCGTGATGCCAGCTGAGCACATCAACCCGACTCTCTCTCTCTCTCTCTCTCTCTCTCTCTCTCTCTCTCTGCCTTTTTCTTCTATCTAGGCCGTTAAGGGCTGTGATTTCGGCCTTCTCTTTATTCACACTTTTGAAGAGATTCTCACAGAAAAATACAGTGTTTAAAAAAAAAAAAAAAGAGGAGAATGGTTTAAACTTATTTTTACTTAGAATTTATTTCACCATGTGTCCAAAAGTAGTTGTGGTTGCTGCCGTTCACTTTATAGAAACCGCAGCTCTTTTTGCAGTGGGGACAGCTCAATAAATGCTTCTAGTAATAGAAAGTGAAAAGTTAAATGAAGAGGAAAACAATGATTATCCGCACTAGATTAGATTTAAGAGTCTACAGGCTCTGTGAGGCTGTGCTTAGAAACAGCAGTGCTTTGAGCAAGATGCTACCTTCAGCATGCTAACATCGTCACAATAATAATGTTAGCATGTTGATGTTTAGCAGGTAAAATGTTACCATCTTAGTTTGTCGTGTTAGAATCAAGGCTGTCAAAATTGGCCAAAATTATGTTGCGCAATCAGAAATTTTGACCTAATAATAGTTATAGTTGATAGATCCAAGTTTCGTCATCGACCGCAAATGCACCCAAATAGCTGACAAAATGTTAAAATAAAAGCCCAAAACGTCAACCTGTTGTTGGCCCTAGAGGAAGAGAAAGGGTAACACCAAATTGCGTAGGATACGTTGTCTCAGTGCACTTAGATGAGGACGTCCGCTTTAAAACGCTGACAGTGTCGTCCTCAGTTACAACCGTGACGTTGATGCGAGCCAGCGGTGATACGGGTCGCCTTTCCTTCATATTCGATAAACTCTGTAAAACTAGAAAGTGTCATTTGTAATGTTAAAGCCTGGGGCTGGAGTAGGTTATGGCAGGTGAATGTTGGTGGATTGCTTTACTGATACAAGGCCGAGTTTTATATTGTCCGAAACCTGTGCTAACTGCTATAACTCATAACTTTGATCATCCAGAGTGCCAAGACGAACGAGCCGCTGTTGTCTTTCTGTGTCACATTTTCATTTAGTTTGTAACGGGGCTAATTATGGCCAAGTTCACACTACACGACTTTCAAAGTGGTCAGATCGCTGTACTGTTCACACTCCACAACCTGCTGTGTTGTAATCGGGACTCTTTCAGTCCTTATGGTTTTCACACTGCATGACTGACTGGTGATGGGGGGGGGGGGTCACACAAAGGTCATTCCCTGGCATGAGTCCACGATGAATCCTCCAAACTGAGTCACCAAAATGTGCGAGAAGTGACACCGGTGTTGTCTGCTTGTTGATGATGTCGCACATAATACCCTGTTTCCCTGTGTAGATCGGTCACTGCGCTACCTGTTTGGTTTATTCATGCAAACATCCAACGCTTTAGGCACAACAACAACTTTGGACCATGTTGCAACTGCAACTAGTGGGGCAACGGATCATAAATGTCACGGTTCGGATCAGCGTAAAAGATCGTAGTTGCCGATCATTGCTGATCCATATTGTTGTTTGATTATAACAGCTGGTCGACAAGGCTCCAGACTATTTAAAAAAAAAAACAAATCTTGTCATTAGTAGTTTTACTGATGTATTATAAGCAGCTTAGTAGTATTTTAAACCAGTCATAATTCACCTGTAATATCTATTTATGTTGTTGTGAAAACGTCTCCTTCAAACGACTGGATTTATTCAAGTTTCTCACCAAAACTGACATCGGCATAAGATGGCATCTTTCCATTTTTGAAGAAGTCTCCTCTGATCCTGGTGTCGCCTGCGGGGGCCATTGTCTGCCAGTGTGATGATAGCGAGTGGGCTGACGTACAACGAGGGCCCCCTCGTCTGGAATCAAAACTGGGGACTTTGTGGTTACACACCTGCTATTTTGTGCTCTGGGGCTTTCTGCTTTTGTTAAGCTTTTGAAGAAATGTTCCTAAAAACGGGTGAATGGAAACATATCGCTACACATGACCCCCGCCATCCCCTCTACTCACGCTTCCACCTCCTCTCCATCTCGCCACAGATACAGACAACTACTCAGCACAAAAAGTAACCTCAGCCATTACTGCCTTTAACAGCCTGGCCACACTGTAGCTTAAAGGAAAATGTCCTCTATAGAAGGCGATAAAACAGGATCACTTTGTAGCTATCTTTGAAAAAGAGCTATATAAATAATGGTATGTTATAATGTTGAGGTCACTGAGGAAAGTTTGAGAAAAGCACTTGGACATCTGTGTTTAAAGACTCTCATTTTTCACACTGTGCACAATGGCATCTTTACAGATACAGCTTCCACCAGCAGGAAACACACACACACACGCGCGCGTACACACACACACACACACACAGCTCTCCTCCCAGTCCCACCAGACTGCAGACATTGTAAATCTCCTGCTTTTGTTCTCCACTTAACCCCCCCCTATCACCTTGACACACACATAAACAAACACAACAAGCAGGAAGATGCGGTGGTGGTGAGTGAGAAAAGCAAAGTGGGCATTTGATCAGGAATGATCTAAAGAATAGTTATCTTTGGGTCAGGTATCCGTGTGTTTTTTCTCAGCTCGCACCATCTGCCTGTAGTTTCACTGTTGACTTTGTCGATTGGGCTTTATCAAGGCTCTCATTCCTGGGAAATGCTCGTGTCCGCGGTTTCTTGATAGTGAAGTGTGAGAACAGCCAGGTAGAGAGGACACAATGCGGTTGATATGAGCCGACTGTGTCAGGGAATGTGTGAATCATTTAGCTTGTTTGACTTTAGAGAGAGACGGATGGCTGAAACCTTTTCCAGTTTCAGTGGGGGGATTTGTGACCCGTATATATACAGTGTGTGTGTGTTACAATTGCACAATAGCAGACAGTCCCAAATCTGGTAGGATCATTGTGTCCGGCGTGACGACAGCGTGCATGGGAAGCTCGTCAAACCAGTCGGGGGATGAGAGTATCTTTATCCGGTCTGTGCTGTGTCTTCCATTATTTCTCTCCCTCTGCCTTATGCATCGGTCTTCTCAGCACTTCCCCCCCCCCCCCCCCAGCATCACTCTTTTCTTTTTTTGCTGATTTTGCTATTGTCTGTTTCTTGCCAGAATACTGGTATCATGCCACACCCTATGGCATGTTGCCCAGATTTACTGCAATCATGTTTTATGCCCTTTTTTGTGATTTATTCAAAAGCAGAGTAAACATGATCTTGAATATGATTTTTGGCTTAAACGTGACCAAAAGTGAAAGTTCCACTGTGTCACAAGTCTTAACCGCATCTGAGTGGATCTTCTGCTGTCTGCGTTTTGATGTCATGTGTGCATGATTTTTTTGGTGTGTTGACTCGTAGCAAGTGTGCACGCAGCATGTCTGCTCAGTACAGAAATAGTCCCGAAATAGCACCGTGTTTTCTTTGGTATCTTGTGCTGCAGCAGTAGCCTGATATCAACTCATACTTTATTACAGTGGATGACTGTGCAGTTGTGCATATAGAGTGCACGAGCCTGTGTGCGTGCTTGTTGGAATAATGAATTTCACAGTGGTTTATGTACGGTATCCCCGTGTCTAATGGACTATGCCTGTCAGCCTGACTCCAGGGCAAATATTCTGCCCTCGCTCTCTTACTGTACCAGCTCACAGTCTGTACTATGAATGTGCAGCACTTAAAAACAAACTACGTGGAGCTAAAAACACCACAAACACGGGTTAATAACACTCAGTGTCTTCACAAAGGCTCTAGTTTGAGTGACACTGTGATTAATGCAGGCGCAGGAAGTAACACCATCGCTCAGTGCGCTTCCTGTAATGCAATGACTGTTTTGTGAACATTGTTGGCGTTTCTTTGACATCAGCTGACCTACCCTCAGCTTCGCACACTGACTCCCGTTCAGCAGAGTGGGGATTCTTCGACATGCGAGGCTATAAATGAAACAAAAATGATCATATTTTTACCATCCGTTCTCAACATTTATAGTTGTTCCTAATTAATCGCACACAGACAAACACTTAACACAATAGTGGCTTCCTTCATTTAGGACTGAGAACACCACACTTCACGTTGGGACCGGCATGGTGTGCCCGAAGACTACCGAGCCATGTGTTTCTGGTGGGCCACACAATAGCTGATGTGTCTGGCTATAAGTGTTGCACTGGCGAGGAGATAGTCGGGCTTTGTTGTCGTCGGTCAAGGCTGATTTCTGTCGGCCTGCCCATCTGGCCGCCCTGTGACCACAGGCTGATGTCAGGCTGGCTCTACATAGTTTGTTAGATACGTGGCGAACCTTCTGCATTATCTCTGTAAGAAGGAGGATAAACGTGTGTCCTATGCGGAGGGGGGACTCTTACCAATATTCTGGGGGGGAACCCTGAATTGGTTTTGAGCAAAGCCAGAGCTATCCAACACTGTTTTTTTTAACACAGGATACAAGAGGGCATCATCGTCATAATGGTGTCTCTGTATGTCTGTGTCTAGACACATTAAGACAAGAAGGAGACATGATGGAAACGGCATTAAACATTGTGGATAACTGAAACGCACTTCTTACTGTTTGAAGGGTGAAGATGATTTTACCACAGCCCCATGTGATACAGCATTCTACTACACTGAAATAACAACATAAACCTGTGTTAATGAATGATTAATAATTGTATTAAATTGTCACGCTTAATTAAAATGTTGCCAATATTGGAAGTGTTTAGCAGATGACGGGCCCCTCTCTCTCACTCTCTCTAACTCTTTCTCTCGTCTCTTGCAGCTCTGCAATGTATGGACGACAAGGCGCCGTGCGTCAACAATGCTACGTGTCTGACCTTCAACAATGGCACTGAGTACTGCAGGTGAGATCCACGCGCTGGTACAACACTGTGACAGCAATGTGAACGCAGCGGTAGAAGCGACCTCATGAGGGGATTGGATGTGACAGAAATAGGATTTTTAGATCAACCCCCCAGCCCGTCCACAGGACCATGAGGCTTCGCTCAGGCACGGAAGGGGGAATAAAAGACGGCTCTGTCTCTGACTAAGTACACCAGCACTGGGAACAATACCAATACACACATTTCCACGTCCAAGATGTTATTTAGGACATTTCGGGGGGTTTTGTTACTTACTCTCCTGTTGCTATAGAATTGAAGCCAACACATTTTACTGCCCACTGATTTGTTATTCCTGCGGGACGTCGAGATGATGACGAGACGTTTCTATTCCATGAGAAAGTCTATTCAGTCCAATAGATGAGAAAAAAAACAATCTGAAACTTGGTCAGTTGATTCAAAATGGCACGTACGCTAACCGTTGATACCACACAAGTAAGTCTCTTCTGCTACCGGTGGTGCAATCAGATCATTAAGGGGAAAGTGCTGCAGCGTGAAGGAGGGCAGTGGCCTGTTTGATCTATGCCTTCCACTCTCTTGACAGCTTAGCCTAGTTTGTAATTAAGACTCTGCTATCTTTATAATTGCATTGCCACTCCCGAGCCAAATTCCCAACGAAAACACACCAAAGCTGGTTCATGAACCTGCTCATATTTCATCAAATGTGATGTGAATCGCGCTGTGTGTCTGTTCCCAGCGCTTTTGGAATTTCAACACTCTGCTTCTTCTGTAAAAAAGGAAAGCGACATTCCTTAATCAGTGTTTGACATTCCTCCGTCAGGTCAGATAGACGTTGTTCTGCAGGTGTTTTTGTGTAGTACGTGCATTTGGCTGATATTGCAATTTGCGATATTAGAGGGGATAATAGTTTTCACATTATCCTCATTTTCATTGAAAAACACTCTTAAAAGAGTTGTAACCGCCGTGTTTAAGAGCAGTGCAGAGCGGTGGCTGTGAGCTAATCAGTGGAGCGCGCTCGCATGCACTAACATGCACTAACATGCACTGAAAGCACGCAAGGTCGGCCCGGCTGTGTCAACAAAAAGCGGAGAAGCTCTGATAACAACACACACAGAGGGAGAGTGACTTCATTCTCAGCTCACGTAGACATTACTCCACTATTTCTTTACGTGGAAAATAGTTTGCTGCTTTATAAATGCTGAGAATGTCGTGTATTGCTCTTTAAATACGGGGAGACGGTAGACATGCAGTACCAGTAGAACACGCCTTTATGCCAACAGTTCCTATGAAAAAACATTATAATCATTTGCAGCTGTTTAAGGTTTGACCGCATCCTCTCAGGTTTTATTTTTTGACATTGTTCCTATTAACTTTGCTTGTATTTAATTGCAGTTATAAATTATTAATATGACATTTGATGTTTTTTTGTGCTAGGGGACCAGTCATTTTTCATTTTGAAGAAGTCTGGCGCTATCGGATATCTGCGGTATTTACTTGCGCTCTCGCTCAGCCTAGCTGTCTCCGTTTCTAAAGTCATCATTTATTATTATATGAATAAAATGATGATATTGCTGATAAAAACAGGCAGAGAGGCCTTTTTCCCTGAAGACACACAGAGAGGGGTCTCTCAGTTCCAGTCAGCTGACAGAGCGCAGGCCCACTGTTAGACCGATTAACTAGTCAGTTCACAAGTAAACATGAACTACACGCACACACACACACACACTTGTGGACTCCAATGCATGCACTTGCCTCTGTCTGGCCCCGTCTGCACCGTGCTGCTGATGAAAAGACTCATTGTGTGGAAATCAAATGATGTGTTTATTAGTCTCCTCAGTGTGTTAAAGGCAGCCGGTTGTAAGTCAACAGTTACTTTGGCCCTTTTGGCTCGGACCAGCCTAATTGTGTCACATGGATCACACCTGGGGGTCACACTGGGAGCAACTGTATTGTGAAACAGTTCATGAGTTTCAACTGATGGACAGTTAAATTCCTTTTGCGAGACATTTTAAGACATTCCGAGTGTAAAAGCGCTTTTAATGCTGAGAGGTAAAGTAATGTTCCTCCATTAATCCAGTTCTTATTGTTTGATATACGTAATGAAAACCGCTGCACAATGGGAAGATGGGGCCCCTGTTTATGTGAACAGAATGAGCTTCTGTGCAACTTCTGCAGAGTTCCCATACATTCTGGAAACTCTGGAAAACATAGAACTACTCTAGTATACGTGTGTGTGTGTGTGCGTGTGTGTGTCTTTTCCATTTAAGACAGATAAGGAGAAGGGAAAAGAGACGATAGGGAAGATCCTGCTCCTCAAGACAATGACTATAATGACAATGACATTGGAAAATGTTACATTTGCAAATGAAGCTCAGGTGTCTCATTTTGTACATGAAGAATATTGAGAGAGTATTAGTGCATGGGAGAGGTCGACTAGCTGACTAGCAGGGTGCAGGGAAGCCGTCTAACCGGTGGCACAGTTGTTGAACTCACTGTTCACCCTTGGGTGTGAGAAAAAAAGGTGTGTGAGTGTGTGTCTTGGTGTAGATCTGTGCATGTCACAAGTTTGATTGCTAAGCATTTGTAACCAGAGGGATACATAACTCTTTTCCGACGAGGTATTGACGAAGTGCACAGCAACAGTGGTCCGGTTTGTTGGCCAAGGATTCCTGACACTAATGCTGCGTTCACATGAAATCATGTTAGTGGCGGACGACAGCAGGAAAATAACCCAAAAACATTGGGTGAGGTCGGGAGAGAATACCGGTAACGGCAGACGGCATAGACGTCCAAATGTTACGGTTACTGTTGGAATGCTGATTCAGCATTCCAAGTATTTTTCTTTAAATTTAACTTTTTGTCGTCCTGTTACGTAGCTCCCTCACAAGAGAAAGTCGTTACATTTTGCAATAGAATATTAAGAGAAAGCTGCATTTCATAGCCACATGTATTACTAATAATTACATAAAATCGTTTTATCGTCCTGCCATTGCGTCGGACTGTTTGTTTGTTTTTCCTGTTTAATTTAGAGTGAATGCAGCCCAACATGGAGTCTGACTCACTGACTTAATACCTGAGCAGTACGGGTGAGGCGACACACATTACGTTGTCGAAAGCCTATTTTCCTCCAGAACAAGATCTCTTTGTCTGCTGTTGGGCCACGGTGCAAACTGATTAACTCTCCCTCCCTCGCAATGCCCCCCCCTTTTTTTCTTCCTCACTCTCTCACTCTCCTGCAGTCACTGTCATGCCTTTATGTTTATTAAAAAAGTTTTTTTTGAAAGAGGGTCGAGAGTTACTGTGTTGTGTAGACCTGCTGCCTGTTTGATCTGACAGGTAGAATCTGCCTATGGGGCAGACAGAGGAAGAGAAAGGGGCCAAAAGAAAAGAGGATGTCTTTTTTCAGGTAATTTGAGGAGGAATGCCTCGGAGCACAACTCCTTACTAATGATGAGAGAGCAGCCAGGGGGAGGGGGAGAAGCGGAGCAGAGAGAGGAGTGTAATCTCCCTCTTGCTACGCCTCCTTCATCAAACTGTCACTCATCCGTCCATGCTTCTGTCCCTCCTTTTGCTTCAGGGATTTAGATGCCTCTGGACATGACTCACCAGGCTTCTTAATCCTTCTCCCACAACCCCCCCCCC